AGAGAGAGAGAGAGAGAGAGAGAGAGAGAGAGAGAGAGAGAGAGAGAGAGAGAGAAGTTTAGAGCACAAGTGAGGCGGGCACAACTTGTGCCGCTGTGCCACCCACTGCCGCTGCTCCTTCAACTTTTTATACCAAAGTCTGTTTGAATTGTACTTGAAATGTTAAAACGTTGGGCAGTGTAGGTAGGCGTGGCGGTCGGCCGGCGGTCGTCCCTGCGGTGGAGACGTACTCTGTGCTACCGCTTAGCCCAGCTAAATGCAAGAGTGGAGCTCTCTCTCTCTCTCTCTCTCTCTCTCTCTCTCGCTCGTTGTGTCGCTCTCGTGAGCGAGGGAGAGATCTCTCTCTCCCTCAATCTCTGAACATGTGTCTCCCTCCCTCCCCCGCCCCCTACTCTCTCTCTCTCTCTCTCTCTCTCTCTCTCTCTCTCTCTCTCTCTCTCTCTGTCTCTCTCTCTCTCTATCTCTCTCTCTCGCTCATTGTGTCGCTCTCGAGAGCGAGGGAGAGATCTCTCTCTCCCTCAATCTCTGAACATGTGTCTCCCTCCCTCCCCCGCCCCCTACTCTCTCTCTCTCTCTCTCTCTCTCCCTCCCTCGTGCATAGTCCTGACTGCTGCCAGATACATGTAATATAACTCGAATGTAAATCGATATTCCCTCCGATGATGGTAGGCTCAGAACAACATCATCCGTGGCCAAATTGATGACACGATATCCGGTCTGAGTTATTGCCTGCGCGGGATTGAAAATGCGCTCCTCGTATTTTATCATTAGGTCTGCCACAGTGTCGCGCTGGCAATTGTGTTGAGCCGGACAAGAATAATTTTTTACAAAAAACATTTACAACTTGCGTTGTCGAGCTTGAAATTTCCGTAATAACTCTATTGCTATAGTACAGAAAAGTATCAGTGTCATCTTATTCCACCCTGTTCCAGTTGCTTTTACCGGTCTTTAAATAAACCCTAGATAAAAAAAATACAATTTTCCCGTCTTGTGAACCTCTTAGCTCCCCATGGCATACGCGCGGAGGCACTAGGCACTCTGTGAAATGAAAAAGGAAGTGCCGTGAAGCACACCATACCGTCGATGCGGAGTAAATCTTTCACAAATGCGGCAGACATGGAAAAGTTCGTGGAAGGTGAGCGTGCCCCCGTTTTACTTTACAGTGCTGGCCAGGTATGTCCGGGGGGTGGGGGCCGCCTTGGCGGCGGCAGCCAGCAGCATTTTCGCCTTCCCCGGCGGCAGCAGCAGCAGCCAGCTCGCGCCCATGATACGACCTGAAGGAAACATAAAACACATTCGGATCGCACTCTGGCGAAAATAATATACGACCTTCCTTTCTTGTGTGCGCCCGGCCGTCCCATCCCATTTCCAGTGGACGTGATTCCCGGCCGGAGGCAGTGATCCGTCGCAAATATTTCTCCCCACCTGTCTGTCGTGCGGTGCGCCGTGCGAGCGCCGCGTGCGCACGCTTCTATACGAATCCAATCGCGGGGCCGTTTCCTGCCGCTTGTGTGTGTGTGTGTGTGTGTGTGTGTGTGTGTGTGTGTGTGTGTGTGTGCATCAGCCCCCTCCCCCCACCAGCAGCACGTTACAATGGACCAGAGCGCCCTTTCTCGACCCCCCTACCCCCTCCCCTACCCCAACCCTCTACCCCCACCCCTTTCACCTATCCTAGACCACCACCACTACCGCCCGCACACCCCTCCCATACCTTTACATGCCTTGCTGCTGCGCTCAAGTGGGCCAGGCAGCCTGCTCCGTCGCCTCCGCCCCACTCCCGGCCCCCTCCGCTCCCTCCGAAGCAACCTCCCCCTCCGCTCCCTCCGCCACCGCCGCTCCTGGTTTTGGCGCCTCGGGGGCCCAACGGAAACTGTTAAAGTCATTTCGGCGAGAAGTTAAATCGCCCCCTGCTGCCTCTCCTCTCCCCTGCTTTCGCGTTAAAACGTCGTGTGGTGTCCCAGGAGCGACGGCTGGTGTGGGAGGAAGAGGGTGGGCGGGTCTCCGTTCAGCCTGTTACGCTGGTCTTGGACACTTATCGACTCTGGGAACATACGCACGCGCGTCGTTTTCACCGTTATTAGAGTGTTGCCATCATCCAACAAAATTAGTAATTATCTCGATCGGATTATCTGACTCTCATCGTGTGTTTATGCTGTTATCTACTTTTCACGGGTGAAGGTAGGCGGGTACCTCGACTCTTAGACTGAGCAAAGCAGCCTGGGGCTGCCTCAGGTGTCTGTAAGAGATTTTGTGAGTATGTGTGTGCGCGAGCGGCGCGCGTTTGTGTGTGTGTGTGCGTGTGCGTGCGTGGTGTGCTGCCTCGAGGTAGCAGTGTTATCACCACCCCCAGGTGGGCCTGGCGCGCTGCGCAGGGCCCGGCCCGGCCGCTGCAGACTGGATTCAATAAGGCCGCCTTCGCCCGGCTGCAGACGGGGCCCGGACGGACACACCCTGGCCGCGGGGACATGTGCTGGAAGTGTTTCGCCTGACTCGGCTCGGGGGTTCTCCCCATTTCCACTGGCTGGCTGCTGGTCTGGGACGTGCACATGCCCGAGAGAGATAGACAGACATGGATGCGAAGAAGAGAAAGAGAGAGAGCGGGGAAAGGAGCTTCTTTCCGAGCTAGTAATCACTTTTCTCACTTTTTTGTTCGACCTTTTCTTCCCTTCTCACTCTGTTCCCTCTTTTTCTCCCGGCACCGCTGCTGCTGCTGCTGCTGGAGGCGTCGGCGCGGCCCACCCTCTGCAAACAGCGCCGAGGTGGAAGGAGGGTCGTTATCTGACGTGCACCTCGCTTTAACTACTTCTACGGGCCCGGCCCACCCGCGGACTCCGGCGCTCAAGTGCGGAGTCTCCGGCACGGTGAAATGTGCACATGCAGGCAGCGCACGCCGCGCGCCCGATGTGGAA